AAAACCTTGAGCGAGCCCTTTCGTGGTGGACACGGTACCGTTTTGCCTCAGTTTTTCTGGAAAACCACATTTAGGCTCTTTCAACTGATACAGCTCAACTTGAGTGCTGTGTCCCCAATACCACCCAAAAGGGTTAGATCCACTGTTGCGGGAACTGCAATTGCTGAGGGTTTAGGGTTCAACACCACTGTGCTGGGTGAACTGAGCGAAACCCTAAAACCCACGGCGAGAGCGGCGCCGCCCTTCGGTCGTCCCTCCCCTCGAGGGCAGCGACGGCGAGAGCAATCTGCCGGCAACGTCTGTGCACGCTTGGAGTTGCGGAGCGAGCCTTGGCACGGAGACCGGGTCGCATCCTCTCTTCAGTGATGGCCTGGTTCAAATGCGTTCTTTTCGATGGCAGGGTAGCAAACACCATCTTTTCCCACAGGATCCGTGACACATAATGATACATTTCAACCTCTAGTGGTGCAAACTGGACGATGTGACAAACCCCACTCGTCTGTCAGGGCTTTAAACAGTTGGACCCTTCCCCACAACAGTTTGGCATTGGAAGGGCGATGATCCAATATTCATTGGTTTGACCTTCCAACTTCCGACTTCCGATCTCCGAGTGATCAAAAACTTGAGGAGTCGCACAAAACTAGAACCTGGAATGGATAATGCCATTTTTATCGCGTGCAAAACATGATCCCTGACACTTCCTCAACCCCGAAGGCTTCTGCTTCTAACAAACGGGTGCCACGAACCGCTCCACTCCGCTCTGCTCGAGGCGCTGAAGTCCGGATCTGCGCTGGTGCCGGTGGAGATCGTGAAGCCGCGGTTGGCCTCACTGCGGTGCCGTGGCACGAGTCAAACATAGTCAAACAGCACCAGCAAAGAGGATTACTATTAGTACGTATGGCTTAGCATGTCTGGGCTCATGATCTTCTCACTACGTCTGTCACATCTGACAAACTGGGCGGGAGAACACTGTTTCAAATTAGCGTCGCAGCATAGCCTCCCTGGCAAACCAGTGGAGGAATTCCTCATCTTACCAACTCACTTGCCCAAGATTCGATCCCTAGACCACCAAACTTGGACTTCTTGGGATCCTCACCCTCTGAAAAGAAGCAGGTGCATTCCTAGATTCCTCAAACAGATCGCAACACATCAGCAAAAAGGGATCTTCCAGTTCCCAGTGAGTCAACCATCCAGGTGGAACAAGAGCCCGGATGAAGCTTCACTCAGCTCCGACCGCCCCTGTGACCGAAACAAGACACCCGTTCCTGAAGAAACGAGACGGTCTGGAACCTGTCCCCCCCAAAAAACCGTGCCATCAAACCATTGACTTTTCTGCAAAAGGGACAACAACTCGCCGGAGTCCGGACACTTCCAAGGGGAAAAAGGGGTGGTCTTCACAAAGTGAGCTGTAGCTTCTCGACAAAAAATCAAACCATGTCAAGGACCGTGGCCTTTCATCGCCCTCACCGACCCCGCCTTGCGCCCATCGAGCATCCGCTTGTCGACGTCGACGCCATCACCTAAGAGAGCGGCGCATCGATCGGCCGGAGCGAACGAAGGACCGGTGTCATCCGCTTCCCGGTGCTTAATCGGTAAGGAATGAGGGTGGCTGGATGTTGAGGTACCTAGAGTGAGGGGTCATTCCCTCATTTCCTACTAAGCACCAGTCAGTTCTCCATATAAACAACATCGAAGAAATTGCTTTTGACAACATTTTCGCACATTATGGGTGTTGCGAACATGTGCGGATTGCAAGTTCCGGATTTTGCAAAAGCACCAGCTGTAGCCTTTGGACCAATATGATGTTTAAGAAGAACATCGCTCATAGAGCTTTCCACGTGGAACATAGGATGGATGGCACTGGACTCCGACATCCGCGGCCTCCGAGAAACTAAGTAGCCCGGTCCAATGTCCGATGGGACAGAACTTGGGGACTCTGGGAGGATTCAAATCCCTCCTATAATGCCTAGAGTGGTTTCAAAGAGTAGATGGCACAAACCCTAAAGATGTCCTTTGGAACTTGGGATCGCAGCATTGCTACCGGGTTGGACCCATCCAGGACACAGAATGGTCGCAGTGGACCCGAACCCCCCCGAACCACTTCGAACCCCTTCGTGGGCCCAGCGACACTTTGAGGCAGCGTCGATTCCATCAAAGACAAGCTTGCGGCTCTTGGATTCCTGCGAAGTGATGGAATGACCCCAAACAGTCGAGCACTTGGTCGGTTGAAAAGCAAAAGGGCACATGGTTGGTGGAAGGATTCCAAGGATGGCTTCAAAATTTGGAGACCCTCTCCTTCTGTTGGCAAAATCTGCACAAGCACACCTGCAACACCTCACGTGGCTTCCAACCTTTCCTGCAACTGGTTGCTCCCACACCAGCACCCGACACACCAACCAGCCTGGACTTCCTCACTGAGTCAGGCATTGCCTAAGGCATTGCCTAAACCGGGTGCACTGCCTAAAGTGTCGTGGCCGTGGTCCTCACCATCTTCCTTGTCGGACTCGAACCGGGGCGAAGGAGGAGCACCTCGCCGTGCGATCCGTGATGGCGATCGACGTGCGAGGATGCCAAACACGCCGGGGAACGATACAGGGCCTGGTGATCTTTTGGCAAAGTGGCGCCACTGTATTTCCAGTGTCTTCCAGTTCATGTATTCCTTGAGGCTTGTTTGCTTCATCTTTCCCCACTCTCATCCCAAAGACTTTTGGATCGCCTGCTGCCATGATCGGTGCGGCTTGAGGATTTGACAGTTCTCTACCTTCGCGGTGCACTTTGCCCCTCGCGGCCGATTTGAGCTGTCAAACGGCAGCGTTTAGCCATAGCGGATGGCGTGTGGCCCTGTGGTACTCTTTTTTGGGGTGAACCCTAGTCATTCTCCAGCCCCGTCACATCCTGTCGCGCTCTTTCAGCGACCCCAGGCCCCAAGCCAATTGATTGCTAAGAAGTAGTGCTAAGTAGCGAAGGCCAACAACGGCCTCGAGCTTTCTTTCTCCTGCACTGAAGGCCATTGCTAGTGCCTGGTCAGACTATTTCGCACCATGAAACACAGTCCGTGGTTCGTCGTAGTCATTTTGCAACACAAAACCGTCGTCTCTCCACACGTCAGCATGTGCAAATCACACATTCTACACTCAAAGAACCCGTATATAATTCCTTAGGATCGAACCAGACAACGCTGTTCTCACACCAGTCAGGTTATCCCAAAGCTGGCTGTAGAAACAAGGCTCGTCTC